TGGGGCAGGGCGAGGGGGAGGCCCGGACACCCCCTTGGGATGAGGGTGGGAGGGCGGCGGCCCCCCGAGGGCAGAGCTTATGTCCCCCTCAGGTCAGCTGGGAGCTTGCTCATAGCCCACCAAAAATTAGCCCCGCGCTCGGACTGCCCGAGCCTCGACATTACGCGCAGCCCTCGAGTAGCTTTGTGGATCACCGGGCTGCGGTTCATTAGCTCCGCTTAATTTGCCATTTGCAATCAGACTTCTTCCAAAATCGCTCCCGATCGGGCCGAACAACCTAAAGGAACGGGCGCCAGTGGGAAATGAGCCGTGGAAAGTGAGCAGGGATCCTCAGCAGCTGAGCTTCAGCAAACCCGCCGTGCGAGCCGAGGGCACGCAGTGGTGTTTGCCCAGGGAGGGTCGGGCTGGGCGCGCTGCAGGGACGCCGAGGGGCTTCAGGGTTGCTCCTGCCACTTTAGAGCTTCATGCACCAGAGCCCCATCTCATCCTCATCACTGGCTAAATGAGTATTAAAAGATACTAATTTTTTTATTTTTGGTGCAGTCATGATTAAATAAAAGCAACTTCATACTCGAGGGTAGTACGCTTTTAAAAGCAGATTTTGAATTCTGCTACTGGACAATGCAGAAAGCCAGGCTGGGCACCTGGCATCCTACTTGAGCATCTGCTGACTGCGTAGCAATGGGCAGACACGTCAAAACCCAGCAGGCCTGGCAGAGGTTGTGTCATCGGGTATGTCTACTTACCACTGCTGTTGCCACAAGGTTCGTGTGGATTTGGGCCTGGTTCTTCAGCCTGTACTTGGTAGGCAGGACTTTACATGCAAAGAAAATGAAATCTGTGCTGGACAGTGAGCTCAGAAAAGGACTTTAATTCCAACAGACTGCTCTGTCAATTCAGAATGTATGCTGGGGTAGTAAAAACTGAAATGTATCCCTGTCTTCAGAAACACTGTGCAATGCAAGGCACATCCTGGAAGCATTGAAAATGGCATGAGAGGCACTATGCATGCGTAGTATGGTGACCTAAGGTGTCTTCAAAGAGCAGTGTCAAGTTGTGCAACACCTGACATACTTTTGTTGCTTCGCAGGCAAAGTAATAGTTCTGTCATTCGATCAAATTCCCCAACAACAACATCTCAGATCATGGCCAGAAAGAAAAGAAGAGGGGTATGTTTCGTTTAATTATTTTTGCATCTGACAGTTTGCGTGTGTGCTGTGGTTTTGCCCTTAATTTTTTGTAAACTTAATGTGTTTTGTTTTTTTGGGAATAGATTATAGAGAAAAGGCGCCGTGATCGTATAAATAACAGTTTATCAGAGCTGAGGCGGCTTGTGCCAACTGCTTTTGAAAAACAAGTAAGCTTTTTCTTTTTTTAAAATATAAATTCTGTATCTCATCTGGCAATGTTAGTTCTCTTGTAAATCTCATTAAAATAATACTGTATGTGTCCTGATCTGGCACAAAGCAAGCATTTCAGTGAAATGCTTTGTTGTGGCAAAACTATTAGAAACATAATTCATTATAAGGCTGAAAAACATTTCCATTCTTTGGCTTGTTTTTCCCTTAAGGGTAACTGTGTTCATGTTGCCTCTGTTCTTTCGATGAATTCCAGTAGTGGTTTTGTTAAAAATGTGCTTTACTGCATATTAAATAAAAAATGAAAATACACAAACCCAACACAACTCCCCAAAGTTGTTGTCCCCAGTACGCAAATTAGCCTTCTGTCTAAATCTTCAAAATATAATTTACTTTGCTGCTTCTTTAAGAGACCATTTTTTTTCAAATATATACTTTCCATTGCAAACTAATCAGTCCAGTTTCCTGAAAAGAGAGCATAGAGTCTGGATTATTCGTGTTTTAAGATGACCTTTTGGAACCAGTGCATTAGGAGGTGGAATAGGCCCGTGTTGTGTGAGGTAGTGAAGTCAGTGATATATTCAGACTTTCAGCGAGAAAGTATTTAGTAGGAAGTCTGGAAGGATGCAGTTAACTTTGGCTCAGCTTCTTGGTCATCAAATTACAGACCAAGAGCTTTAGAATACAATGTTTTGTAAAAAAAGAAAGGGCATTTTGGTTTCTCCATTCAAATTCATTTTTTTCCGTATCCTGAATTTTATTTTTTGGGCTTTGATTCACTTTTTAGCCTTGTTCCTGTTTTGCTAGAAGTGTCTGAAGATCTATGGATGTGTGCAAGTGACACTGTGTTTCAGTAAAAATGAAGCATCTGAAAATAAATAACCTGATTTCCTTGTAATAGTAAAATAAAAAAAACCCAGAAAGTAAAATCTGAGAGCAGGACTGGGAGGTGGTGAATGCAAGTGCTAACTACGTGGCAAGCACCGCACCATGTTAGCCCTGTTTCATCCCTGGCCTGAACAGGAGCTGGCAAAAAAACCACCAAAACTGAAGTATTGGTTGAAAGCACCACTTGTGTCACCTGCATATGATTTTTAGTAACTGGTTGTTGTCACTGTGTCTTTGCATTGGTTCTGGCAAAACAGTGACAGGGATATTTTCAGCTAGATAAACAGGGGCAAGAGACAACAGTTTTTTGTCCCATTTTATTGTTTATTTCTTGAAAACCACAAACATTATAAAACAAGTCCTACAGAGCCTTTGGAAATTACCCAGCACCATGCAGTTTTTAGCTATTAGTCACTCTCACTGAGGCGGCTTTTACTGTGTCTGTGGAAAAGATGAAGTCTGAGAAAACTACAGGATGTAGTTGCATGTTAAATGGGGAATTCTGACCAAAAATTCACACGCGCATCAACCTTGGTATGAGGAAAGCGTTGAAAGCAATAAGCGGATTGAAAAAAATGTTAGTGCCGTAAAAATGAGCGTGTGCATTTTTTGAATCAGAAAGTCCCACCATTTTCCTGCAATATGCCAAGGACAAAGTCATCAGTCTTTTCCCAGCTCCTTGACATTCAGCTCACTGGAGTTTCCAAGTTGGAGGTTTAGTTTCGCTTCCGCCTCCCTCCCTCCTCAAGCCACGGTGCTGCTCCCGAGCGTGGCAGAGATGAGCACTCTGAAAAAGGGCCGCACAGCACCATGTAAGCTTTGCCCAATTCAAACTTTGCCAACCTGGGTGAAGTTGGCAGTAAGGTGGCCCAGATGATAACTAGGAGAAAAAGACTGGCTCGCAGGATGCGATCTGGTGATGACTGCAGCTTGCACAGCCCTGATTTTAACTGATGCCAAGGGATGATCTCTTGCACTGGAATTTGTGTCGTCTGGGTGTGCTCCAGATATCAAAGGAAATTCTACCAAGCAAAATAGTTTTATTTGTACATTGAACTTAAAATACTGTGGACCATGTGGCAGTTTTTTTCAGTCAAAAAATGAGAATGGAATATTCAACAACCAAATGACATGTTGAAAATTAATAGGCCATGAAGAGAGGGACAGTGCTGGGTGTGTGTCTGCAGGGACACCTACCGGTAATAGCACAAAAAATAACGTTTCAGCAGGGTCTTAATCTATGGCCACACAGATCCCTTCTGCCAGCTCTCCACTTCTGTTTGTTGTTAAAAAGGAAGTCCAGATAGTTGCATATTTCTCTCATTTCATGAAAATGTCATCTCTACGCTACCTTCAAGGGCAGAGCTGTGCTGAGATATAGCCCTAATAAAGGGAAATTAGGGAGACGGTATTAGTTCTTAGACAAAGTCTGGGAAGCAGATGCTCACGAAAGAATTAAGCTGAGAATGTCCTAATGATAGGGGAAATTGAAACCATAAGGCTGAGCTCAGTGGAAAGTATATAAAATTAAAGTTTCTAGTACTCGTAAGCCTTTCTTTATATGTGTGTCTTATCTCAAAGGGATCTGCCAAATTAGAAAAAGCGGAAATACTGCAAATGACAGTGGATCATCTGAAGATGCTGCAGGCAACAGGAGGAAAAGGTAAGGAGCCAATGATTTTTTTTTCCCTTACAATATTTGGGGAATCTCATAAATAAAAGTGCTTTGAGGAGCTGTGATAGGCGTTTCCAGATTAAAGGAGTGGAAATCAATGCTAATGGCAGGATTGAACTCGTGGGAAAGAGCTACTGGGACAAAAGAAGCACTTGACCCTGGGCTTGTGTTTGCTTTCATAACACTGTGGGAGTAAAGGCTTCATTCACAGGCAGCCCAGTCAGAGATTTGTTTGGGGTTTCCAAAGAGCACTGAAATCTGCACAGGGAGACAAAACAAATACACAAACACCAAACATAAACAGGAGGTTTGTGGCAACAATTGTGTAGCAAAAAAACTGATGCTAAACCTCATTATTGAGCCGCTATACCAAAGGAAGTGAACGGAGAAGAACTTTAATTTATGTTGAAGTATTTTCTTTGTTCTGAAAAGACTTTCCAGTTCCAGGTTAGACCATCTCGTTCACCAGAACCAATCCCAGACTTGCTCTATGCAGCTCCAGGTATCTGATAAAGCATGTGGGCAGACAATGCTCTCTGCACTCACATTTCTGTGCTGTATTTGTGTGTCAGAGGCTGGCATAGCTCCCTGTTGATGGGTGCTGGAGTGACGCAGTGGCTGCACTTGCTGACCCATTAGATCAGCCAAGCACCGGGAGTCGAGCGTACCTTGCTTGTGCAAGCTGACAGTCCCAAGGCTGGAGGCCAAATGGTTTCAGCCACCCACAAGGTGTTCTGTGTAGTCATGATTTTGGAACTTACTTGGAGAAAAAAAACTTGCTGGCATTCCATAAGCATGGTGCCACGTCCCGTGCCATCAACTGTGATTTTACTTCAAATTGTTGTAATGGAAACCAGCTGATTCTTCACTCACCCAGTATGCCGTATAGGTAGAAGTAGAGGCTAGAAAAGAAACTGCTGCTTTCTCTCTCTTGCTTTTTTTTTTCAATCAAAGTTTTTAGTGCATGACTGAATTATGCTCCTTTCCATACCTTGCAGCAATTAAAAAATCTCAGAATCAGTGCATGCTTCACAGCAGATGGCTATAAGAAAGCATGTTAAAGGCTGGTGTTTTGTTATTTGTGAAAATTAACACCGAGCTGACTTACGTTTTTTCTAGGTGTGAAAGAGTTTTTTCTAGGAGTCCATTTAAGCTTAAAATTTATGGGTAACTTGTTTGATAAGAGATCAAAGGAATTTTTTTGCCCCTCAGGAAACAGATATGCCTCTTGATTCCTCAGAAAATGTACAAAATTTGAAAAGGAAGTTAATGTACATATATGAAAAGTCCTTGAGAAAGCACAATAGTTGACTAAAGCTATGCTCTTGAAAATTATGAAACACCAGAACTGATCATGGTCGTGCAGTCTGTATTCAGGTGATTCAGATCCTCCGTGTGTCTGAGTGGTGGTGCTGCCTTTGAAGGTGTGGTTGCCTGCTGGTGTTCCACAAGCTCTGTCTCCCTCACTGCATGGAGCACACAGTGCTCAGCTGCTGAGGGAAGCGGTGGCTGTTTGGCTTCATCCTCCCCACGCCTCCTGCGGCTCAGCTATCCCAGCCTGACCCCCACTTCACGCTGCACATTGTTCCTCTGAGGAGCTGCAGCAGCTCCCACCTCTCCGATGTTTGCACTGACAGCGGGACGGCCAGGAGGTGAACCCAAATGGAGACCTAGTTTATCAGGAAGCTTCCTTCCCCTGCTTCCCCACCCCAAAAAAGTATGCAGGGGATTTTTTTATAAATGGCTCGGGTCAGGTGGCTGAGTGGGGCAGGGGATGAAATGCCTGGGATGGGAGCTGCGGGACATTGAGATGATGTTGGTGGAGCCCAGCCTCTGGCTGCAGTTGGATAAGCTGGGTGTTGTTAGCAGTCCCAGGTCTTGCGGTCTTCTCTCTTTCTTGGTTGGTCTCTGCTGCCATGTCTCTCCTGCCCCAGCTGACACCAGCATAGCTGTGGCAGTGTGGGGAAGGATGAAGTGTTGCGTGCGGGGAGAGGCAACGCAGGCTTATTTCTGCAACTGCCTTTCACACCATGATCCACGGTGGGTGGCCCATCACAATAACACCCAATCGCTTCGCAAATAGTACAACTTTATCTGCTCCTTCTGTCCTAGAGATAAGAGTAATCTCACTGCACAGATTAAGAAACTGTAAGAAAAAAGAGGTTTGAGAATTAGTACTGGGCAAAGTTTAAGCTTGCATTTCCTGCTCACTTAAAATGTTTGACTTTGCAATCTAACTAATAGTTTTTAATATAATTTCTTCTAGTATTTTTAAAGTAGATGTTTGTTTTATTTGCAAGTATAGTTACTCCCACTTTGTAATTCATCTTGTGAGCCAGAAGAGGTTTTTTGTATCAGCAAAAAAATGAGTTTCATCATTTTTACCAGGGTCAAACACTTACTACTGAAGAAAGGAGAAATGTGTTCTGATACTCATATGCTACCCTGCATTGAGATCTGTCCTATTCCTCACACAAAAAGGAGGACATCCATGATGGGGAATGGATGGGACTCGGCAAGTCAGGATGGGGTTGGCTGCTGCTCAGTACACTGATCCCGAAGTGGGCACAGCAGAAGAAAACCCGACACGACTACTGTCCCTTCTCTGATTTTCAGAGCTGCCTGGGCAGGCAGGCGGATGGCTCTGAGGTTCTGTGCAGACTCCGCGTTTCTGCCGCCCTGACGCAGGTGTGGACAGTGGTCTCCTGTTCACATTGAGTTACTATTTTGGCCTAAGGCCAAGGCTTTTTGCTGATGGTGCAAGCAAGCAGAGGGGAGGAGTGATTTGTCAACAGTGAGCTGCCTGCAGAGAACTCAGTGTGGTTTAATTGCAGCTTCACTTCAAATGAATGAGTGACACCTGGGTCAGTGCATGGGTTCATGTAACTCAAGTGACCTGTGACCTGCATGCAGTTCAGGTGTGTTACCAGGACAGATGAGGTAAAACCAGGAGTTCCTGTTCACTACAAAACACTGGCATGTGCACACGTTGTAGGATATTCTTGGGTTGAGAAAGAAATGAGAAACAACATTTTTAAGTCTCTCTCAGAAGGGGGAAGCCAGTGAAGGGGAAACCGGGAAAAGATAACCATCAAAACATAATGGAGCCTGGGAGTCCCAGCTCTCATCTACCCTCTGTTTTCATGTCTCGGCCACCATAGGAGACTGAAAGGGAGCCAGGATCACCAGGGCTTTGGGATGGCTTGTCACAGAGCCAGCAGCTCAGACTCAGGGGAAGCTGGTGACAACCACATCCCCCACATTTCTTCCAGTCCAGAGGGAGGGAGGCCGGCAAGCCCTGGCTTGAGCCAAGTGCTCTCAGGACTCCCAGGCTGGCTGACTCGTGGCCAGAGCTGGGAAGTGGTTTTGGCTGTGTGTCAGCCCCTCTGAAGCTGCTGGAGGTCCTGGAGCCTCCGGCACAGAAGCAGTCCCCACGCCAGGCTGACTGGCACCCAAGAAGGTACCCTGCTATCTCACCACAGCTGGCACGCCTGGCCTTTGTTTCTCAGGAGTTCACTCAAACCTTTGGTGGCAGTGGACCTGGCAGGAAGAGAGCTGTGAGGAGTCAGCGCCTGCGGATGGGAGTCCTCAGCTCCTCACACTCATTGGATCTGCTGGCTGAGACAGAGTTTCTCTCAGGTTCAGATGAGCAAGTAGACCTGCAGCAAAAGTGCCATCGCAATTTGGCAAGATGGAGTGTATGGTGGGCAGGGACTTGGAGCCACATCGATAAATGTGCCCAAGTTAATTCTGTAATGTGGACATGCAGCAGCGGAAACACTTCTTTCTAGCTTGAAAATTGATTCAAGTGAAAAAAGCCATCTAAAGTGCTAGCATTTTTCAGCAAGGCGGAGATTATTTTATGACAGAGTAAAAGGCATTTGCTGCCACAACTTTATGCACTGACACACATCACAGCCATGCATACCTAAAAATTTTCATTGCTAGTGAGAGGCAAAACACAATGCCAGCTTGAGAGTGGATAGGATACCGTTCCCCCAAGGAGACAACATTTAAGCTAAAATAGGAAAGTTCCAAAAAGTAGAATAGGTTTCTGTGGTTGAAGGGCTGCAACTTAAAGAACACAAGATTTTCTGCTCAACCCTTTTAGAAAGGGAGTATCTTTTCATGTGCATTTAATAAGACTTTTTTTTCAAATGCTTTTTTGTCCCAAGCCTGTGGAGCTCCAGTTGCTGTTTGTTGAAATACCTCATGGGCCATATGACTGTCAGTCTTCCATCTCCAAATTAGCAATGGCATTACATAAAACGTTTTCTCAGTAAAGCTTTTTATTGTGTGTGTGCAGAGTCATCACAAGATGTTTTTTGTTTGTAGTTAAGCAACACCGTATGTCATATTGTCTTAATGACTCTGTGAAGTAGATGGGACCCCAGCAGCAGCTACAACAACTATCTCACAACGTCAAGAAATAGTTTGAAAGCGTTAGGATGAATGCCAGTGTCGGGAAGAAAAGGCAGGGTAGTACATGCAAGCTCTCTGATCTCCAGCCTGTTTCTTTGTGTGGATAAGCATCTCATTCACACATACAGGATCAACACTGCACTGCAGCAGCTTGCTGAGGAATTTCAGGAGAGGCATCATGTATCTTTTTAAGTGTCTTACGGACTTAATTCTTTTCATTTGTATATTGTCTGCGTAAACAACTGCAGCTTATTACATTACAGGGATGGTCACAGAGATCATTTACAGACCAGAGAACAAACTTCTCCTGTTGCACATCTTAACCCATAGATGGCAAACGGGAGATGCGGTGGCCGAGGCAGGACTGGGTTGGCCAGCTCTACATTCAACACGTATTTTGCCCTCCCCTTGCAGGTTATTTTGACGCTCATTCCCTGGCCATGGATTTCATGAGCATCGGCTTCCGAGAGTGCTTGACAGAAGTGGCGAGGTACCTGACATCGGTGGAAGGTCTCGACACGTCCGACCCCCTGCGCGTTAGACTCGTGTCTCACCTGAGCACCTGTGCCTCTCAGAGGGAAGCTGCTGCCATGACCTCCTCCATGGCCCACCACCACCACCCCCTGCACCCTCACCACTGGGCGGCCGCCTTCCACCACCTCCCGGCCGCTCTGCTGCAGCCGAACGGACTGCACGCCTCGGATGCTGCCCCATGCAGACTCTCCTCGGACGTGCCCCCGCACGGCTCCGCCCTGCTCACCGCCACCTTCGCCCACGCCGATGCCGCCCTCAGAGTCCCCTCCGCTGGCAGCATCGCTCCCTGTGTCCCTCCTCTCTCTACCTCCCTCTTGTCCCTGTCGGCCACCGTTCACGCCGCGGCAGCAGCAGCCACAGCTGCGGCCCAGAGCTTCCCCCTCTCCTTCAGCGGCACCTTCCCCATGCTCCCGCCCAGCGCGGCCGCCGCCGCCGTGGCTGCGGCGACCGCCATCACCCCTCCGCTGGCCGTGTCAGCCACCGCCAGCCCTCAGCAGGCTGGCACCGGGGGCGGCACGAAACCCTACCGACCCTGGGGGACTGAAGTTGGAGCCTTTTAAGTCTCCCCCCACACACACCTCTTCCTACCGCAGCTCCCTCCTCTCCCTCTCAGCACACGTGCATGTGCTCACCCCCAGGAGCCCACACATCCCCGCACCCACACCCGGCCTCCGGGGCTCGGTGTGGCCTCCCTGCTCAGCCTTCACCCAAAGGGCCTGAGGAGGTGCCGGCCAGCCCAGCCAGGAACGGCGCGATTATCCTCACTGCAGGTGTCGGAGAGAACATGGGGAGACACCTTCTTCTTCTTCCTTTGTCTTGCTGGGGGCACCTTGAACGAGCAGCAGTGGCTTTCAGAACAGTGTGACCATGCCGGCATGTAGAGGTTTCCTGCAAAATACGTAGAAATACGTAGGCATTAGAACTAATAGTTCTCCAGCTATGCATCCTTGTTTGGCAGAGGTGAGGGATTGCATCTACCAGGTCTCCCCAGGCTAGAAAAGGAGTTCCAGTTTCATAAGTGCCTGACATTGAGAAAATAATAAATAAATATATATGTGTGTGTGTGTGTTCTGCTAAAACAAATAACATTGCACAGGTATGGAAATGGTTTGGGAGAGAGGTGAAATTCTGCATTCAACTTCAGAACTAGGATACTTTTCCAGGGCACAGCATGCTCTTGAAGGGGAGAGGTTTTTCTAGCCAAAAGATTGCCGAGGAAGAATGTTTAGTTTGACAGGCCTAGTTCTCGCTTCCTTAGTTCACTTTCTTTGTACAGACTTGCCAAATTGTGACGTCTAGCATAGCATTGGTAAAAGCAATTATCTTATCAGTGCTGGGATTAATGAACGTTTCAGCATAGCCTGTGAGCCCTAAGGCACCCATTTTTATGGCTTAAACATGGTGCTAGCTCCTATCTGCACAAACAGTGAATTTGTCATGCACCCAGAAGTAACTGCCTGTTTAAAGTGTGCACACTTGGATACAGTTGATTCATGCCAATACAAGACACACTCAGTGTTGTAAGAGTTCAACTTAACTTATTTAGCTGTATTTGGACATTTACTTTTAACTGATTCAGTGCAAGATCCCTCTTCCTTTCACTATCATCTTCTGGGAGAATGATCACTCTGGGTATGAATGAAGTTATGGTAGGGACGATTTTTAAATTGGCTATTAACATGCCAACATTGTAATGTGGGTTTGATTCCAAACCAAAATGAATGTATTAATGGGATGTGAGTAAATTATTTTGTCAATACCCAGATAACTAGTGCTGCATAAAATGGTTTGCTTTCATTTTTTATTACAGTGACTTAAAATAACCTAAGTATTTTAATACAACCAGTCAAGAACTAGAGATTTTATGTAAAAAAAAAAAAAAAAAAAAGAAAAAACACAGCATGTATTATTATGCACTTGATTTCTCTGCTGTGTGGAGAAAGCAATAAGCATTGAAAATGTTAAACATTATGCAAAATATACTTTAAAATATTTGTTTTAAAAATACTGTACCTAGTCGGTCTTTTATGCATTACCTTGTTAACCTTTTTTCTATGCAAAAGTCTTTACATATCACTAATTAAATGAAGTCCTTTTTGACTGCGTTTTATGAATGATTTGTTGCAGTATTTGTTTGCTTTTGAGGAATACTTGTGGACTCAGAGTTGTTTTCTGCCCCTGGTAGCAAGCCTGTTGGCTGCTCTGTACTCTTCTGCTCCCCTTGCTCAGCAAGGAAGCCCATCTTGTCCAGTGTGCCCTTGAATAGGCAGGGAAAAACAGCAAAACAGCATTGGTTTTCAGGCTTGCAAACTGGCTCTGCATTGATGGTATGGTTAATGATACAAGTTATTCTGTATCTGTTATTTAATTCTGTTAATTAATTCTGGAGAGCCCCAAAAATCATTGGGGTTTCTAGGTCCAGCTTTGCAAAGGGTTTAGAAGGTGAAAATGTTAACCCAGTGACATAATTCATCCTTAAGTAAATGGAATGAGAGGAGGAATTTTTTACTTCAAGTTCTGGTCTTCTAATTTGAGAGTTCTCACTGAGGCAAGGGTTTGTTATGTTTCATCAGACCTGCTAAGCCCCTCTGTGGAAAGCATGTAAAGCTCTGCTTGTAAGGATGGGGACAAAGTTTTACACGTCTGAATGCCAAAAAAACGGCTGGCAAGATCACACTACAGGCAGACAGACACAAATGCCTCAGCAGCCTCAGTTGGGTGGCTCACTCCTAATCATCCTTTCTCCTAAATATTAAACCTGGAATCCATCCCTGCCTCAATCAGCTGGTCTCCGGCACTTAACTGAGGAGGGGTTAGCATTCACCTGAAAAAATGGACAAAAGAGGAGGAAGAAGGCTTGCAACCCCTACACTGTTAATCAACCTTGATATTCTTTGAAAGTTGTGTTGTTTGGGGGGAATATGACTTTTTTTTTGTTAAGGGCAGAAATCTGTTTCAGCATATTTAGCAGCATACAGATGAGGTATCATTTCACTTTCTAAATGTGTATTTTCAAGAAAAAAGAGGACATTAATGGCTGGTAGATAAAAAGTGGGTTTATTTGCATGAAAGAGTAGGTTGCAGCCCTACTTTAATGTAAGCTGTTAACTATTAATGTAACCTGCCCTGAAAAAGCCTGGTAGGAGGTCTCCCAGGCATGTGTCACCTTAAAAATAGGCACCCACTGACTTGGTTCCACCTAAGGTCTTGATGTGCCTCAAAACAGCATTTGTTTCCCAAAATGCAATATTCTGACTCATTCTTTAAAAATGGAAGTTTGAAAAGACACTAATTAGACACACACCATGGATAGATTTGTGCAGCCTCTTCGTGCTTATCCCATTTTCACTTTCAAAAACCAGGCCAGATCCATGAGTTGCTGAGGTGTCCTGAGTTGCCTGTGTGTCCTGAGTGCCTTTTAGTCTCCACTATTTCTTGTTGCATTGTCTTTTGGTTTGGTTTGAATCAAATCACCTAGAGGACATGAGTAGCCCATCCTTCAAGCCTGCTTATTCCCATGCTGCTGGGAATGTTACCTCTCTGAGAGCAGATGAAGATTTTCCAAGTGAGAAATTAATGATGAAGACACGTATTTCATGTTGGAAAGACATCAGAGGATAATAGCTTCTGATGACTTTGGTTGTAGCTGTGCTAATAGGTCAGAGTTGAAGGCATCTATGCAGTTTTTAAAATAGGGCAAGGGAAAGCTGTTTTCTTGGCATAACCACATGCAAAAGTTAGCACTCGTGTCTGTGCACATGCAACTTTACTTCAGCCCTTTTTCTATCTTCATTGTCCATTCAATGATGAATGGACCTGGCTGAAGAATAAAGTCAGAAATTTATATAATTTAAAAGTAGATCATGACACATACTACAAGAACACAAGTCAGGCTGCTTGTTCAACAGTTAGCAGTTGGCTTTGACTAACTTTTCAATGGGTGGGTTTGCAACTTTAAATTCCAGTTATCAAGAGGATCAAAGCAGGTTATGCAATTTCCTAGAATGTTTTTCTTAAAAGGAAAAAACTAAAAACCAATTCTGTCACTCAGCATTAGCAGGCTCGAAACCTTAGCCCTCAGCAAGGCAAATAGAAAGCGTTTAGGCTGCTGAGAGAAGATTATTACCCTAGAGAGGAGACAGGCAATTGAGAGGCGGTGCTGCCTGTCCTCCCTTTGCTGTGATTGCAAGTGGAGGAAATCCGGCATTAGGTATTGCCTAGAAGAAAAACCGGCTATTGTGGCTGAGGGCTGAATGCATATATTCAAAATAGAATAATTGTCTCCTGGCTGTGACTACCTCTGCCTGAACAACTGCCAGAAGGCGCCAGCTCATGCTGCTGCCTCCTTAGTGTGAACTTTCAAAATGTTTGTAGCTATTTTGAAAGATGGTAGTTCAATCAGGATATCATGAGGTAAGCCTGGCACATGGATTCTGGCAAATTCTTACGGCTATTGTAAATGAGGAATCTCTACAACAGGAAAAGGTCACAAGCATCTTTTAGTCAAAAGATACATCAGAAAATACGGACATGTGAAATGGACTTTTACCAGCTCTGTAGTGATCAGCCTCATTAGTCACCTGCTTCTGTAGGCATGGATAGCCTGAGATCACACAACAGAGGACCTGAGGGATTGAATTGGTAGTTTTGTTCAACTTTGAGAAAAGATGAAAGAATTGGTATAGCTTTGTTTGCAAGCTTCATGTATCCAAGCTTCATTTGTGTGAGGCCACTTCATGAACCTGAGTTAGCTTTACTCAACACTGAACTTTCTACTTGTGCTCTGTTTCTCTGCTTCACCATTTTACACAGCAAATACTTGGACACTAGTGTGTGAAAGTCTCAAAGGAATGAGTGCAGCAGCACATCTGATCATAACCAGAAATGATAAGCAGAGGAGCACCAGGCAGGTGCTAGAAATGCTGAGATCTCCATTCAAGGGCAAACCAGACCTCTCCTGATTTATAAATGAGATAACATTTTGAGAGATAATTGACATAGTTTCCTTTTTTGGGAGAAGGTTTGGTTGGTTTTGATTTGGTTTTTTTATCCTGGTAATTGCTACTACTGGAACTTGTAAAGTGCTATGAATGTGCAAACACAATCACACAAACACACTTAGTCATCATTCAGCTGTCTAAATGCCATGTCCCAAGTTGGGCTCCAACTATCACTTTGGACGAGGTAGGTCTCACTGGTGTCCTGTCACCTCTGCCATTCCTGTGCATATGCCTGGGAAATCCAAGTTGCTTAAGAGGCAAGGCCAGGCAACTGAATTTCTCCCTATCTTGCATCATCTTTGGAGATATAAGATTTGAAGCTTAATAATATTTTCACATATGATCTAATTTTTTCTAAGAATCAGACTCCTCACCAGAAGAAACAATAGAACAGGATCAAAATAATTTGGTGATAATGCATTATCATCTATCACTCCCATAAAACTAAGACCAGTCAACACTTGAATCAACATTAATTTTAGAAGTTCTCTTAATGCTCTGACTTTAGCAGTGGTAGTGATTATAAGAAGATGTCAATATAATTTGTTTTTAAAAAGGATATTTTTCTGCATTTTTGGTGGCAATGTAAATCTGGGACACATGAATTAGTGTTGTACCCTAGATACTCAAATACCAGAAGCAAAAGGAAGTGATTATGGGAAATAAAATGAAACATGTCTTCTTGAATTACTTTCAAGGTCTGAAGAGGCAGACTTCTTTTTTACAGATATACAACTGCCAATATCGAATTCAAGCAAAGCTAAACGTTTTAGACAATGTTTGAACAGTACTATTACTTATTCTACAGGAAAGTCCTTCTGAGTTAGTGGCTGAATTTTATTTTCTGCTCAGTTCATTTTCAGGATTTTTCTCTTCTACAAAGAAAGTTTTCAGGATGAAAAAATACTTTGATGCAACACAGAAATTGTGGTTGCTAGGAAATTTCAAATGCTGCCTACATGAACTACAAGACCTTTGCACTCACTCCAGGAAACAGTGTCTCAGTGGAAGATGTAAAGAAAACTGTTTTACCTGTAAAGAATACCCATAGTTATTACTATGTGGTAAGTGAAAATCCAACAAATTACTACAAGGCAATATAGAAACCCAAGGAAACAAAATTGTAGTAATGTAAAGGCCTACACTTTTCTCCCCTTACTTTTGATTTAACTCACAACGCTGTATTTTTTCAAATCTCAGAAAGAAAAGTAACTTTAATTTTCTTGAGAAAAAGGACTCTCTTCCTCGGCAAGTTTAAAACAAAAGTTAAACTTTTAAGGTACACTTTCACAACTTGGTTAACAAGACCAGGTCTGTTATGTGTGGATCACATAGCTCTTAATGTCCGTTGCCAGCACAACCCTTGGCTTTATTATACAAGCCCTAAAATAAAGTAACATTGTTTTTCTCCCCACCCCCTCTCCCTCTGTTGCTTTCTAAATGTATTTTGGTGGAGGAGAAGGAAGTTTATTTTTCTTGGCTTTTCTGGGGTTTGTTTTTCTGAAGAGGCACCGGGGTGGCAAGGGGGGAGCGGTGGTGGGGACGCTGGCTCCTTGGACACCAAAAGCATCTCCTTCCCGCTGGTCAAGCAAAGCTGCTTCCTCTCCTTTTCCCACCTTTGCCCTCTTTTTGGGCAGCTGTCCCACTGGTTGTCCCCTCCACCTCCTTTCCCAGAAGGGATGCAATCTTAGTGAAAGATCCTTGCCAGGCAGCCACGCTGGCAGGGGCTGGTGGCGAGGACCGGCTGCCAGCCTGCAGTTTCATGAGGCTGTTTCAGTCCCTCTTACCACACTTTTTCATTTTGTTGATCATAAAAGCTGAAGTGAATGTTTTCTGATAATTATCTCAGACCTTTAGCCGCAATCGACTGTGACCAATGTCTGTCTGCTTCCCTCCTCAGGTTATCAAGAATCTGATGCCTGCCCAACTACAATGATTTTGACCTTTCAATTTATTACTGCAGTTAGTGAATAAAAATGCTCCAAACCGGAATCTCAAAACAAAACAAATAGAACCATTTCTTGATACTGCTGAAAACTGACCTTCATGTGCCACCCTGTCCTCCTTCAAGGCCTGCTAAACCGACAAGAAAGATTCCCATTAGT